AGCCTTAAGTACGTTAAGTATAGCAGCCTTACGTAAGTTACGTATAGCAGCTTTACGTAGGTTACGTGTAGCAGCCTTAAGTACGTTAATTCTTTCTGTGCAGCATTTACTAATTAGATTTACTAATCAGATTTACTAATTAGATTTACTAATCAGATTTACTAATCAAATTACGTACAGTAAAGCACGTGTTATAGCCGAGCTATAGCCGAGCTAAGCACGTATAACAAAAGGACGTGCAGCATTTATTAATTAGATTTACTAATCAGATTTACTAATCAAATTTACTAAGCGAAGCGTTCCTTCTTTGTTTCGCGTCGAGTTCGTGTTTTAAATATTATAATTCACTTTTATTAAATCGAAGCATTGCATCGATTATCATTAAGCGACGCGTTATTTTCTTTGTTTCGCGTCGATTCATTGTTTCAAATATTATAATTCACTTTTGATAAATCGAGGTATTGCATCGATTATTATTAAGCGACGCGTTATTTTTTTTGTTCCGCGTCGATTTATTATTTCAAATATTATAATTTACTTTTAATGAATCGAAGCATTGCATCGTTATTTTCTTTGTTCCGCGTCGATTCATTGTTTTAAATATTATAATTCACTTTTAATAAATCGAAGCAATGCTTCGATTACGATTAAGCTACACTTTTATTTTTATATAAGTACTCGCTCTTCTTCTTTTTCTTTTTCTTTTTTTCATTTAATTTCTTAACTTTAACCTTAACACTCAACTTCTTAACCTTAACCTTAACACTTAACTTCAACTTCTCAACCTTAACACTTAACTTCAACTTCTTAACCTTAACACTTAACTTTAACTTCTTAACCTTAATACTCAACTTCTCAACCAACCTTAATACTCAATTACAATTATATTCAATTTAAATAATTATTTTCCTTTTGATTCTTTGCTTTTTGATTCTTTGCTTTAAGCTAATTATTTTCTTTATTTAACAATGTCGATTCTTTTTTTTTATAACGCTATAATCGAAGTCAACTTTTTTAATACCGGTAGCAACAAGCTAATCAACGAGATACTTAGTCGTTACAAAGATTTCGTAATCGTTTATACTAATAGTAACGTTATTAATTTAATGTTTACTTGCTATAACGAATAAGATACTGCTTTGTTTTTAAAACCAATCGGCCTCGATTACGAATAGAAAGGTCGCAAAGGTTTTATCGACGAGTTCGGCATTAAGCATTATAGTATTAACAAAGTTAATAATAACATTTATATTCTATAATCATTAATTAATTTTTTTATTTAAAAGGAAAGCGCTTAAGTCTTTTATCTTTTCGACCACTTTGTCTTTTTCCTTAACTTAATTAGAAAGCAATTCACTTATAAAGATATTAAGGTTCAATTGATCTTAAGTGATCTTACTCTTAAGCTTTTCGATAGCGATTATGCCGAAGCTAAAAGTATCTTAAAAAAGCTATTGATGCTATACTCTTTTACTATCGATAGCACCTTAATATACAAACGCTTCACTTTCAAGTTCTCGGATGAAAATGAGTTTAAGTAGAGCAATAAGTGCTAAAAGCTAAGAGAGTTACTTGAGTTAAACGAGATTTATCTAAACTATATTTATAAGCAAGAACTTAAGCTAAAAGCGAAGACCGAGTTGAACGTATTTTACGTAATTGCAAAAGGACAGGTCTTTATCAACTCTTTATAACTAGTAAACTTAAGCTAAAGAACGGGTCTTTATTAACTCTTAGGCCTTTGTAATTAATAAATTTGACTAATACTCTAAGTCTTTGATTAGTAAATATGATTAGTAAATGTAATTAATAAATGTAATTAGTAAATGTGATTAATAAATGTGATTAATAAATGCGATTAGTAAACTTGATTAGTAATTATGCATATGCATATTTTTATATATATAAACTCTATAGAGTAACCTTACGCCTTATAAAGTTTCCTTATAAAGAAGGGCAGAATTTTGTACCTCCCGTGGGTTCCCCCGTAAGAAGGACTCAAAACTCCGTGGAGCCCCATGGGGCCCTATGGAGCAGCCTAAATTAGAATTCAAACACTTTTACAACCGAGTGTTTTGCAATTGCAAGTACTTTGACGACCGTTACGAAGTTACGAATATATTCTTTAATCGCTTAAAAAGAATCTAACACTTAGTTTTTTTTAACTTTTACTTTCGATAATTATTGATTTCAAATTCAAATAATAATTTTATAATCTTCTTAAGCTTTATATGATCTTTTCGCTTTTTTATAAATTCTTTAAATAATCGCTCAAGGTCGTTATAACAAGTACTTACTTAAATTTATTAAGATTTAATTAGTATACAAGGATAAAGTGCTTATAGAAATCTTAATTTAAATATAATCTTTATAGCTTTCTTTTCTGCTGCTGCTATAGGATAAATAAAATTAATATAATCTGATAAATATTAAAAATAAAAGCATTTAATCAAAACTTTATTATATAAAACGATAAAACACTTTATAATCGTATTAGCTTATAATTATATCTATAAGCTCGAATATCTATTATAATTAAAGAATAGATAAAAGAAATTCATATTTTAACAAACGCTTGCCGATTTATTTGTAAGTACCGTTTTATTATTTATATATTAATCAAGTTATTAATTTATTAAGAATTATAAACCAATCAAACTCGATCCTTACCGAAAAAAATAATAAAACTTATTATTCCTTTTCTATTAGACGAACGAACGGTCGAAACGCTCGGTGTGTAATAGAAATGCTAGACGAAGAAAAGCGTAATCGTAGCTAGTTAGTTAAAATAAACGAATATCGAGTTAAGCGATTTTTAAATAACGGCTATAAAATTAAGCTATCTATTAAATAGATTAGTAAAAACGAACATAACGACGGATATTATAGAATTAATATTATTAGCGAGCAAAAGACTTTTTATATACAAAAAAGAAGTATCGCAAAAAAGGAAAGTAATAAATTCGATAGCTTACGAAAGCCTTTTGAATTTCATTATTATAAATTAATAAATAAGTTTATATAAATAGTTTTAAAATCGTTATTATATTAAATAAAATATATATATGATTAACTATAAATATAATTTATAAATATAAATATTAAAATAATTTATTAATATATTTATATCGATTTTAAATACAGCAAATCGGTTAATTCTTTTAATTCAAAACTTTAAGATGTGACGACTTTAAGCGATTACTTAAAAGAACTTACGAAAGCGCGAAAGTTCATATAAAAGCTTAAAAGAATCTTAAAGTAATAACTTAAAATCAATAATTACCGAGTGTAAAAGTCGAAAGTAGCTAAAGTCTATATATACGAATGTAAAAGCGCTAAAGACTCGTAATCTATAGTTTATAAGTCAAAAGCAAAGAATAAAAGAATACGAAGAATACGAAAGAAAAAAAAAGAAGTAGCTTAGCGCATGTAAAGTGCGTTTAAGAGATTTAGCGTATCGTTATACAAGAAACCGACGATTAGTAAATGTGATTAGTAAATATAATTAATAAATATAATTAATAAATATAATTAGTAAATATGATTAATAAATATGATTAATAAATATAATAAGTAAATATAATTAATAAGTATTATTAATAAATATAATTAATAAATAAGATAAATAAAAGTATTTTTATAAAATACAAAATTTATAATTAATCGTGAATTCTATTCTATATAAACTTAAGCATTAAGTTTAAGAATGATCTTAATTCCGTATCGCTATCCTTAACGCTGTAAAACAACTCCGAAGCTAGCTCGTCCTTTTTCCAAATCAATTGCATAACGCGTTAAAATAAAATAAGATCGCAATCAGCTTTTTTAAATTCAGTATTCTTTTCGAATCCTTTTATATTCTATTAAACGGCTAGACTCGGCAATTCGTATTTAATCTTATCGGTATTTGCTTTAATTTTAGCTCGCTAATACTTCTTTTTATCAAAAGAAAAGTAAACGTAAAAAAGCTTAATTAAATAAAAACTAAAAGTTATAATATTAATTCAATTGATTAAAAGCATAATAAAATGAATTCTTACTTAATTCGTTTTAAAACCGTGCTTGCTAAGTCTTAAGCTATCAATTCAAAGAAAGCTTTCCTACTCTTTAAATTAGCAGCTCGGCATTTTATTAACAAAGACCGCGCTACACTTTACTAATAGCGACGAAATTGCTAAACGGTTATCATATAGCGTGACTTTATATTATTAGCAAAATATAAATATTTAAATAAAATAAAAGCTTATTTATACGTATTAACATGCTAATTGCTAAGTGACTTTCTTTATCTTTTCATCGATAATCGAAACGTATCTATCGCGAAGTATATTATTATTTTCTTTTTCGTCTTTTCGCAAATTAAATTCTTTATAAACCTCTTCGTCTAAATTAAATGCTTTATTAACTTAATCGCTATTTAAGTATTTTCTATTATTGAATCTAGCTATAAAAGAAACGGCTTGCATAGCAAGATTATCCGCGTAAATGCTTCGATTCTTTTTAAAATCGATTAATAAATTACTTAATAAATTCAAGAAAAGAAAAAGTACCGTTCATCTATAAGATTCTTTCGCATTTCGGCTTATCGAGTTTTCTTTTCAGCTTTTAATGCTTAAGAATATTCTAAAGTTTGTTTTTAAATTGCAGAAAGCTAATTAACGGCCGCTTGATCTTAGGCTGCTCTATAGGGTGGGGGCCCCACGGGGTTTTCCTCCCCATTCGCCCCATAGGGCCTTGGCCGATGGGGGATTTTTTTTAAAGCCCTATAAAGAGGATTTTTTTAAGTGAAATTACCCACGGAGGATAGGGAAACCCCATGGGTTTAAAGTGGGG